CTTTTAATGTTCTAGTCTTCAGAGGTGAGGATGCACCGGACAGTCGAAATACCATGCCGACGTCGCGACATATTGACATGGTATTCCGGATTTTGCCCCCTCCCCCCCCCCCGGGGGGAAAGGGGACTCCCATATAAAAAGAACAGGGATGCTCGACGGAAACTTTGAAAAGAACCCCTGAGAGGTACCAAGATCCTTTTTTGTGGGCACGGCTTGAAATGTTTTTTTTTTCACCAGTAAGAGGTATAAATTGTAAAACACGTTTTATCTCCTGTCAAATTTGTTTCGGGTCAGTACCCTCAAAGCCCACTTATACTGTGGCCCATTTGAGGCTGAACAGATTAAGAGCTACCAAAACTGCGTGTCGGCCCATTCACTTCACCGTCACGCATTGCATGTGTCGTTGACCAATCAGCAAATATTTGGTTTTGAGTTCATTGTCATCTAAAGTTATTACAATGTCCATTTAGTAGCCAATTGGCCTTCGAGCTGGTTGCTCTTTTTTTTGTTGCTATACCGTGCTGACGAGACCCAACCCGGTCAAAACAGCTGTCCACGGTTGCAAATTTTAGCTTTCAGTCTGGAATCTATCATGTCGTTGTCACGTTAAGTTTTTTAATGTAGCTATCAGCCTTGCTTCATTGTTATTCTATTTCTATTGAATTGTTGGCTGATCAAATRGTGTACAGATCCAATTTATACCAGCAGCATTTCGTTTGCCGTCCCTTGGGACATCTATTATGTATCCAGCTAGTCTTAGCTGCTAGATGCTAGTCCATCGCCCCCACCCCCACCCGTAATTCGCCGGTAACCATTTATATACCTGTGCAGAGAGAGACCTGTGAGAGTAAAGTGTCTTGCCCAAGAACGCAACCGCACAGTGTCGTGCGCCAGGGCTTGAACCCGAAGCGAGCGCGCTAAGCGTGAGGCGAACCCGCCTTCTTCTCAACCTATAAATTGTCGGATAAATATGAAATGTTGGAGATTTTTTATGACCGTTCTTTTGTTCTGAAGAGGATAAATTTCGCCATCGATCTGCAATTAAAAGATAGACAATTAGAATGTTCAATTTCTAACTCTGTATACGTCACGATTCCGCGATCCCAGGTTCTCTTTCCTTTGCCTTGTAACGACAAAGGAGGCAAAGGAGAGAGAACCTGAGATCACGTTTGCCATCCTTCTCAATATTTGAGTTTTCTTCTGTTTTCGTTGATCAGCAGACGTTCTTTTGATTTGGACAAGGAAAGATCAAAGTACAGTGGAACCCCGCTCTACGGACACCCGCTTAATACAGACACCCCGATATTACGGACAGTTTCGTTTTCCCTGACGAAAAACTCATATATTTTTTCTAAAATTAACCCGCTTATTACGGACACCCGTTAATACGGACAACGGACACTTTTC